TGTCTTAGTTCCCTGACCAGGGATCAAACCCATGCCCCCTGCACTGAGAGGGGGGAGTTTTAACCACTGAACCGCCAGGGAAGTCCCTAATAGCTGAAATTGACAGGAATTAACTGCAATATACTAAGTCTTCCCCTGGTACTTGCCAGCTTTCAACAGATTCCAGAGTTCTAAAAGAGTTATGTCTGACCGACTCTGGCAGTGCAGTTATTGTCTAGATGGGGAGACAGATTCCTGGTGCTTCCTACTCTGCCATCTTCCAGTATCCTCACTGTATATATTTTTTGTACAAAATGAGCCCATGATAAGATAAAATTGAGAGTAGTAGCTGAAAACCATATAATGCAGTCCTAGTTTTGATTTTGTGAAGTGTTTCTTTCTAAGCTTGAGTTCTCTCTTTGCTCGACGAGTTTTTCAGACTTTATACCTCCCTGTCATTAACAACCCCAAGACTGTGGTTGGCAGCTGGAATGGCTATAGTTTCATCAACTTGCAGAATTCCCATAGTGGTGGCCAGTGGTTAGGAAGCTAAAAATGAATAGAAGTGGGAAGAGTGAGCAAATAGCTTAAATGGTTTTTGTTAAGGTTAGGCTTCTTTTTGTCTCTCTCTCTCTCTCTCTCTCTTTTTTTAATGGTCATGGCTCAAAGAATTGTGCTGGTTTGGAATGTTAGCTCTGGCAGTATTTTGAGAATCTAGACATGCAGTCAGTTTGTAAGGAACTCAGGGGATTGGACTAAATAAGAATAAACCCAAAGTTGAAGGAAACAGCCTAGACCTTGAGGTCCATAATCATCAAGAGACTGACCTATCTTTTGGTTTCATCTTAGGAGCTTTTGTTTCTTCCTAAGAAAGTGAGTGCTGTTGTCTAAAACTTGGGTTTACAGATGGAGTTATGTGGGTATACTTGGCTTCTAAGGGAAAGAGAAAGAGCCTGCTGCTGCTGCAGCTAAGTCGCTTCAGTCCTGTCCAACTCTGTGCAACCTAGACAGCAGCCCACCAGGCACCCCCATTCCTGGGATTCTCCAGGCAAGAACACTGGAGTGGGTTGCTATTTCCTTCTCCAGTGCATGAAAGTGAAAAGTGAAAGTGAAGTCGCTCAGTCGTGTCCGACTCTTAGCGACCCCATGGACTACAGCCCACCAGGCTCCTCTGTCCATGGGATTTTCCTGACAAGAATTCTGGAGTGGGTTGCCATTGCCTTCTCTGGAGAGTAGGGTAGTTCTGTATAATCCATGGCAATAAAAGACTTTTAACCCCTTTCTCCACAAAAAAGGACCTCTATTAATTTAGAAAATGTCAGCCCTATATGATACATATGATATGAAAACTTACAGTAAAAACTTATACTATTCTTGCTATTCTGTAAATGTCAGTGCTAATATTTATTTTTTAAGGGAACACATTTATATTCTCTATATTTCAATTTTGGTAATATTTATCAAACTGTATTATTCATTTTGATTTAAGGAATATTATTTTTCAACAGGATACAATTTTTTCTCTGTAAGTTTGCTTCATGCAATATAATTTTGACATTGTGTTCTTAAATATCTCTTCATTTTATAGTTGTTTAATGAGAAATTGCTATATTCCAAACATTTGTATTTGATACTAGCTTCTTAGTTATTTGGGGCTTCCCAGGTGGTTTCCCAGATAGCTCAGTTGGTAAAGAACCCACCTGCAATGCAGGAGACTCTGGTTTGATCACTGAGTTGGGAAGATCCCCTGGAGAAGGAAAAGGCTACCCAGTTCAGTATTCTGGCCAGGAGAATTCCATGAACTGTATAGTCCATGGGGTCGCAAAGAGTCAGACACTACTGAGCAACTTTTCAACAGGATACAATTTTTTCTCTGTAAGTTTGCTTCATGCAACATAATTTTGACATTGTGTTCTTGAATATCTCTTCATTTTATAGTTGTTTAATGAGAAATTGCTATATTCCAAACATTTGTATTTGATACTAGCTTCTTAGTTATTTGGGGCTTCCCAGGTGGTTTCCCAGATAGCTCAGTTGGTAAAGAACCCACCTGCAATGCAGGAGACTCTGGTTTGATCACTGAGTTGGGAAGATCCCCTGGAGAAGGAAAAGGCTACCCAGTTCAGTATTCTGGCCAGGAGAATTCCATGAACTGTATAGTCCATGGGGTCTCAGAGAGTCAGACACGACTGAGCGGCTTTCACTTTCTGGTGGCTCTGGTGGGAAACAACATGACTGCCAATGTAGGAGACATATGAGATGCAGGGTTGATCCCTGGGTTGGGAAGATCCACTGGAGGAGGGCATGGCAACCCACTCCAGTATTATTGCCTGGAGAATCCCATGGACAGAGTGGTCTGGCGGGAAAGTTTCTTTTCTGGCTCTAAATAACATTAGTACCATTTACCAATTTTAGATAAACAAAATATTACCAAAATTAAATTATAAAGATTGAAAATAAAAAGCCTATCCTTATTCTTTTATATATGAAATTAATTGCTTTGACTTTATGAATATCCTAGTAATTAAAAGAATCCTGAGATCTGGGGTCAGTAGGTCTAAATTTCAATCTGTCATTTACTAGTAAAGGCAAGTTAGTAAACTCCTCTTATTCCCTGGTTTTCTTTATCTTTGAAATATTAATCCTGTATTATAAATTGTTAAAGAAATTAATAAATATAAATATATTTTAACAAGTGTTTTATCTTGAACATCAACCATCAAGACTCCTTAGGGATGATAATCACCATGCTTTTAAGAGAGTGGTCTTAAGTAGGGGAGAGGGAGAGCTGCTATGGAGTGGGATTTTGTGGGTTAAGAGACTTTAACAATATTGTTAATATTTTATTGGATGTTGGTTCTCATCACTTTGTATATTTGTCTTAAATATTTCTTATTTGTTACTCTCTCCTTATGAAAAACCTATAATTTTTCCATGAACTATCTTAACCAGTACAGTGTCTCGCCTTTTTCTATCAAAGGTCACTGGTTACCAGGATACTCTGAAATGTATACTTCATAATTCTGAGACCTGCTAGTCAGAACATCATTTCCTTCTTGCCATTCTAGTTATTTCATGATGCACAAAGTATCATGTTTCTACTGTGTCTGTTAAGTAGATGGCAGAGGTCACAGACTGTTTGGGGATTGAATCTGGTTCTGAGAAGTACTGTTTGTTCCACACACTATTTGTTTTTTAGGTGACTTAAAGTCTCAGGAAAAATCAAGAAATTTTATGACCCTAGGCTTGCATTTCTGCATAACAGCGAGTTGTTGCTGAGTTCCAGCGGCTTTGTTTACCTGGGCCATGGACTCCACAGTTTGCACACTCACTCTTTTCCCTCAAAGTGATGGGAGATGTTGTGAAATGGTTGTCATCATTATAAATGTTTGTGTTAATTGCTTGACTTGTATATGCAGTTTCCTTTATAACTGTTACAGAGGTCACATTCAGTAGATATCAGTTTTGTAACTTCATGAAACACACTTACATATCTTTTTACAGACATGATGTAAAATGTCCTTTTTGTTTGTCAGCTCTTTCATCTCTCATTTTCAATCAGTCCTTTCATGTTACTGATTAAATTTTTCTCAAGTCTAGTTTTTCCTGTCCAACCTTACTACTCCTGCACTAGCCCAGCCCTCATCATCTCTCACCTGAATTTCTTTAATTGCTCCCTAACTGAACTCCTTGACTTCTGTTTTGTTCTTTTCAGTTCATCCTCAAGCATATCGCTAGAATGATGTATCAGAGTGCAGATCTCATCTCATCACCCCACTGTTTCAAGTTCTCCAAAGTGTCTCCACCTTATATGCAGAAGTCAACAGATTTTTCGTTAAAGATCTAAGTAGTAAATATTTTAGACTTTGCTGGCCATAAGTTTCCTACGACAAACAATTGACTCTGCTGCTGTTGAGTTGAGCACCAAAGCAACTACAGACAACACATAAACAAATGAGCGTGTCTGTGTTTCAGTAAAACTTGTTTACAAAATCAGATTTAGACCATAGTTCACTCCCTCTTCCATGATATAAAAGTCTATCCCTGTCTTTCCTGACACACCTACCACTTTCCCATCATTTGTCTTATAGGTTATTCAGAAGCACCATTCAAATTATTACACCTTTCTGAGCATAACATCTCCTTTCTATATCCAATTATGTAATTCTTTTCAGGCTGTTTTTCCACAAATTGCAAAACATTCAAATATATCTTGTAAAATATTAATTCTCAAATGATGATATTGTATATAAACATGAAATTATTTAGTCAGTACTGACATACTCAGAAACTTAATATAAAGTCTTTTTTCAGTTTTTAACAGATCTTTCATAAAAATCATAAATGAGATACAATCCATGTTATAGTTTGCATACCATCAATATATATTATCCGAAAATCTCAGAATAAGGTCACTAGTAGGAAAGTATTTTCAACATTATCATCTGTATTGAATCAAAATTCATTGAGAGAATAATTTTAAGAACATTAATGGGAACTGATAGCAGTAATTCACTGCTATCTTCTCTTTATCACAGTTACTCCTTTCAAATACTGTAAAGAAAGCAGGAAATATTTGGTTTTAGAATATGATATTTGCCTAAGGTATTGGACTTTAAGTTGTTATTTAAATAGGTCACTTTGCATGTTTCCATATCTAAAGAAATAACACAGCCTGAGAGTATGTTGTTAAATGTGTGATTTTGCCTCATTATTAAATTGCCTTTCTTTTGCCTGTTGCTGACTGGTACAAGTTGGGTAGTAGATAAAACCTATTCCATTAAAAAAAAAGAAAGAAAGAACTTCATTCTTCACACTTTTCATAATTAAAAGTGTGATTCAATTACTAGAGTGAGAAAGTAGATTGATAGAGCTGCTGTGATGGAATTTTGTTAAGATGTGGGTTGATATTAACTGATTATGGTAAAGTTTGCTAAATTTTCCGATACTCACATAATAATGCATTAATTTAAAGCTCTGTTAAAACTGACTTGTATATGTTTTTTATGGTTGATTTCTAGCCACCAGCTGAACAGGCCAAAGCAAGACTGCAATTGGTTCTAGAAGCTGCTGGTAAGTGTAAATAATTAATTTTATTTAAATGAAAAATGTGAAATAAATCCTAGCATCCTTACAAGTTGGATCAAAGAGCAAACTACCCCTTTTCATGTAGCCTTACAGATTTATGACATCTGTGTATGGCCATGTGTTCATGCATGCTTAGTCGCTTCAGTCGTGTCTGACTCTGCAGCTCTGAGGACTGTAGTCCACCAGGCTTCTCTGTCCTGGGGATTTTCCAGGCATGAATATTGGAGTGAGTTGCCATGTCCTCTTCAGGGGATCTTCCCGACCCAGGGATCAAACCTGTGTCTCCTGTGTCTTCTCAATTGCAAGCAGATTATTTTACCGCTGTGCCACCAGGGAAGTCCCATGTGTGGTCATATCTTACCTCAAATATATGTTGCTACAGTGTTAACATTTGCCGATGTTAAAAGCTCATTCTTTACATTCTTATTTATATTATGGGCTACAATTTTAGTTTTAATTTTGATGAAATCTAGTTTATTGATTTTTGTCTTTTATGGACTATTCTTTTAGTGGCATGTTTAAGAAAAACTTTATACTTTTACATTTTAGATTTGAGAATGTGATCTATTTTGATTTAATTGTTGTATAAAGTGTGAGATTTAGGTCAAGGTTTAATTCTAAAGGAAGTGAGATAAACACCATTTAATAATCCTCCAGTTCAGTTCAGTTCAGTCGCTCAGATGTGTCCGACTCTTTGCAATCCCATGGACTGCAGCACATCAGGTTTCCCTGTCCATCACTAGCTCCAGGGGAGTGCTCAAACTCAGTCCATCGAGTCAGTGATGCCATCCAATCCTCTCATCCTCTGTCATCCCCTTCTCTTGCCTTCGATCTTTCCTAGCATCAGGATCTTGCCCAGTGAGTCAGTACTTCGCATCAAGTGGCTAAAGTATTGGAATTTTAGCTTCAGCACGAGTCCTTCCAATGAATATTCAGGACTGATTTCCTTTAGGATTGACTGGTTTGATCTGCTTGCAGTCCAAGGGACTCTCAAGAGTCTTCTCCAGCACCACAGTTCAAAAGCATCAATTCTTTGGTGCTCAGCTTTCTTTATAGTCCAACTCTCACATCCATACATGACTACTGGAAAAACCATAGCTTTGACTAGACAGACCTTTGTTGGCAAAGTAATGTCTCTTCTTTTTAATATACTGTCTAGGTTGGTCATAGCTTTTCTTTCAAGGAGCAAGCCTATTTTAATTTCATGGCTACAGTCACCATCTGCAGTGATTTTGGAGACCAAATGGTCAATACCGAAATCAGATTGATTATATTCTTTGCAGCCAAAGATGGAGAAACTCTATACAGTTAGCAAAAACAAGATCAGGAGCTGACTGTGGCTCAGATCATGAATTCCTTATTGCAAAATTCAGACTTAAATTGAAGAAAGTAGGGAAAACCACTAGACCATTCAGGTATGACTTAAATCAAATCCCTTATGATTATACAGTGGAAGAGACTAACAGATTCAAGGGATTAAATCTGATAGACAGAGTCCCTGAAGAACTATGGACAGAGGTTTGTGACATTGTACAGGAGGCAGTGATCAAGACCATCCCCAAGAAAAAGAAATGCAAAAAAGGCAAAAGGTTTGTATGAGGAGGCCTTACAAATAGCTGAGAGAAGGGAAGCAAAAGGCAAAGGAGAAAAGGAAGGATATACCCATCTGAATGCAGAGTTCCAAAGAATAACAAGGAGAGATAAGAAAGCCTTCCTCAGTGACCAGTGCAAAGAAATAGAGGAAAACAATAGAATGGGAAAGACTAGAGATCTCTTACATTTCATGTGAATATGGGTACAATAAAGGACAGAAACGGTATGAACCTAACAAAAGCAGAAGATATGAAGAAGAGGTGGCAAGAATACACCGAAGAACTATACAAAAAAGCTCTTCATGACCCAGATAACTACAGTGGTGTAATCACTCACCTAGAGCCAGATATCCTGGAAAGCCAAGTCAAGTGAGCCTTAGGAAGCATCACTACAAACAAAGCTAGTGGAGATGATGGAATTCCAGTTGAGCTACTTCAAATCCTAAAAGATGATGCTGTGAAAGTGCTGCCCTCAATATACCAGCAAATTTGGAAAACTCAGCAGTGGCCACAGGACTGGGAGAGGTCAGTTTTCATTCCAATCCCAAAGAAAGGCAATGCCAAAGAATGTTCAAACTACCACACAGTTGCACTCATCTCACATGCAAGCCAAGTAATGCTCAAAATTCTCCAGGCGAGGCTTCAACAATATATAAACCGAGTACTTCCAGATGTTCAAGCTGGATTTAGAAAAGGCAGAGGAACCAGAGATCAAATTGCCAACATCCATTGGATCATCAGAAAAGCAAGAGAGTTCCAGAAAAACATCTACTTCTGCTTTATTGACTATGCCAAAGCCTTTGGCTGTGTGGATCACAATAAACTGTGGAAAACTCTGAAAGAGATGGGAATACCAGACCACCTGACCTGCCTCCTGAGAAATCTGTGTGCACATCAAGAAGCAACAGTAAGACCAGACATGGAACAGCAGACTGGTTCCAAATTGGGAAAGGAGTACCTCAAGGCTGTATAATGTCACCCTGCTTATTTAACTTATATGCAGAGTACATCATACAAAATGCCGGGCTGGATGAAGCACAAGCCAGGAGTAGTATCAATAACCTCAGATATGCAGACAACACCCCTCTTATGACAGAAAGTAAAGAGGAACTAAAGAGCCTCTTGATGAAAGTGAAAGGGGAGCGTGAAAAAGCTGACTTAAAACTCAACATTCAAAAAACTAAAATCATGGTATCTGATCCTTTCACTTCATGGCAAATGATGGGGAAATGATGGAAACAGTGACAGACTTTATTTTCTTGGGTTCTGAAATCCTCCAGTTACATTGGACTAGCTTATTGGATTAGTCTGGATACCATCTAATCTTAAAATCTCATATGTTTTAGTATCTCAGTTGCACAATAATTTGATTTTAGATTACTTTGATTTTACAATTCACAGATTCATGTAGAAACTAAATACTTTACCTTTTTAAAGATAAAAAGATTCATGTTACCTTTTCCAAGTACTGATAGATTAATTTTTAGTCTTAATGTGCGCTTTAAAAAAATGTTACATTTAAATAATAAGTTGCTAAGAATGAGGTTAGGTTAGAATAATATAACTAAAGTAGTATATATTTCTTTTTTTCATATTTCTTAAAATTTTTTACTTTTTATAGATCTATATAGAGTTCATAGTCTCCAAATGGAAATGAGAATTCTGTTTTAACATCAAAAGTAATTTCAGAATACCAGATGATAGTAGTTATATTTTTATCATTCATTGAGAAAATACATATGTGCATATTAATTCAAAGATTTCTTTCATTAGCTCCTTGTATTCTCAGCCAAAGTGTCCACAGTCTAAGTAAAATTTCGAAACACCAGTATAAATGATGTACTAACTTCATAAATCACTAATTGAAGTAATTTACCATATAAAAATGAATATTTTGACTATGAGTTTCTATACCACTTCATATTACTTGCAAAATCACTTATTTTTATGTATTGATCTTACTCATTTCATCTTTCACTATATAGAAAACATGATATATTACAATTTTGCTTACTATTTTTTTAAATACAAAGTTTTTTAAATGTTGACTCTCTAATATATATACTATAGGATAGAGCTAGTTAATATGATTCTCTATTACTTATATACTATATGTTTATTCTTTATTGGCATTTTGCTTTGAAGAAATATTTCCAGTTCTTAATTTGGATATGAAGAAACTCTCATTTTAAAGGAAAATATTTATGGTGTTTGGTCCAGAAAATACTTGTTTCTATTAACACAAGTATATAGAATTTTATTTGATAGCTTTACACATTTTATTTATCTTTTAATATGACTTTGAAGCATATTATAAAACAGATCTGACAATACAAACCTCAGTATATAACTTGCTTATAACGGTCCCTACTTTCATCTCTCATTTTTTAATTTAACATTCTAAATTCTATTAAGGATAAAAAGCGAGGTTCTATAATTTGACAAACATTCAAAATATTATGACAGTTTTCAAATTAAAAAACTTACATTGGCTCCTATAGGCAAAGGACAGACCTTAGCTAGATGTACCATTATTCATCATTTTCTTCTTATTGAACATTTATGTTGTCTCTGCTTTGCCTCTTATCCATAACACTGTGATGTATATCCTATTACAAATTTTGTTTATCATATTTTAGATTATTTTCTTGGAACTGATTGCTATAGAAATGAGTATGAGGTTAGAGGCTATTATTAATAATATTTAGAATGGCTTTTTATACATTTTTGCTAAATTGTTTTTACAAAAGGATTATTCTACTTTTCATACTGCTTAAGAAACCATTTTACCAGATATTGGTATTTAATGCCTGGTCCATGACTTTGTTGCTTTAAACATGAGATAACATATTAATATACTTCTTTGAAAAACATCCATTACTGTTATTAATGACAACTTGTGACCTTGGAGAGGGGAAGCAGATGGATGGATAGGAGAGCACTAAGTTAATATAGAACTTAACATCAAAGTTCTAGATAACTGTTTCAGTGATGAATAAGATGTTCATTGAATTATTAAAAATCAGTATATTAATAATGTAGGGGAGAATAAGAAGAAATTGAGCTCAGTCTAGTAAGACTTGTGGGAAAGACTAGCCTAGTCCTAAGACTGAGATCGCTGGATAGCAAAGCCTGATAGCTCACATTCTCTCTCATTGGAGTTTACTTGAATTCCCACGGAAAACACCCTCAACTCTGGGGCCTTAAAATTGGATATCAGGAAGAACTTGAGGCCATATGCTAGATTCTTGAGCCAGGATTTATTTCAGCCTTATAGTTAACGTAATCTGATAGATAGGGTTCATATGTAGAAATCTTGCTAAGTCTTTTACTCTAATTGTGGGTCTCAGAAGAAAGTTTAATGTATAACCATTGCATTGTTATTGATTTATT